CTGAATTTTAGATCTTAGTAAGGCTTTTCCCACTACAAGGTTATACAAGTCTTCTACTGTGTCATCTAGTGATTTCATAGTTCTGTTTTTCTTACTTAAATATTTGCTTTACTTGGAGTTTATCTTGGTTTATATTATTATTATTATTATTATTATTATTATTATTATTATTATTTCGAGACAGAGTCTTGCTCTGTCGCCGGAGTGCAGTGGGCGATCTGGGCTCACTGCAAGCTCCGCCTCCCGGGTTCACGCCATTCTCCTGCCTCAGCCTCCCGAGTAGCTCGGACTACAGGCGCCTGCCACCACGCCCGGCTAATTTTTTGTATTTTTAGTAGAGACAAGGTTTCACTGTGTTAGCCAGGATGGTCTCAATCTCCTGACCTTGTGATCCGTCCGCCTCGGCTTCCCAAAGTGCTGGGATTACAGGCTTGAGCCAACGCGACTGGCCTTGGTTTATATTATAACACTTGGATTGAACCTTTTTTTCTCAGATGGCTGTCCAGGTGTACCACACCATTTAGTGAATAATGCCTGGTAATTCAATCCCCAGTCATTGGAGATACCACCTTTATCATATTCCATATGCCATATATAATTTTATCTATACTTATGTAAATAGAATGGCTTTACTTTAGAATCCTAGGGGAAAGTCTGAATTTTCTTGTGGGAACGCTAGAGGATTTTTTTTTTTTTTGAGACCGAGTCTCACTCTGTCGCCCAGGCTGGACCAGGCTGGAGTGCAGTGGCACAATCTTCTCACTGCAGCCTCTGCCTCCTGGGTTCAAGCAATTCTCCTGCCTCAGCCTCCTGAGTAGCTGGGATTACAGGCGCCCATCACCATGCCTGGCTAGTTTTTATATTTTTAGTAGAGACGGGGTTTCACCATGTTGGTCAGGCTGGTCTCCAACTCCTGACCTCAGGTGATCTGCCTGCCTCAGTCTCCCAAAGTGCTGAGATTACAGGTGTGAGCCACCACGCCCAGCCGATTTTTTTTAAATCGTGGTAAAATATTATTTTTATGTTTTATATATATTTTAATTTAAATAGTTACTACTTTAACCATTTTTAAGTGGGAAGTTCCGTGGCATTAAGTATATTTACATTGTTGTGCAACCATCACCACCATCATCTCTAGGACTTTTTCATGTTCCCATCACATGGCTTTGAATCAAATATACCAGTAATTTTATGACATACCATTCATTTGTAAGGTAAGCCCTGATTTTAGAGATATTAAAATATGGTAAAATATACATCTTAGGTATATTTTAGTTACTAAAATATTTAGTTACTGAAGTATAGTTCTCAATTTTCAAGTGTATTTAGTTTATTTCTGAACATTCTAATCTATTACATTCATTTTTCTCTCCATGTGCCAGTGCCACACTGTCTTAATTATTGCAGATTTACAATATCTTTTAATACATAATAAGGCTAGTTTCTCCTCACTGGTCTTCTTTTTCAGATTTCTTTCTCCAGTTATTCTTGTGTAGCTGTCTAGATAAACTAAGCAGCCTTTCCTTGGCTCTTATAGACCTTCCTTTCCCTCTTTCTATCTCTATTCTACTTAAATTATAAAAATTTTCATGTAGATGACCTTATGAGGCCTGCAGATGAGCTCTAAGTCTAGGATCAGCTTATCTTCTCTGAAAGTTTGTGTATCTCTTGACTTTCTTCTCCTGGGTTTCTGCTTTAGCTTTGTCACTTCAAGTGCAGTCCATTCCTGATCTATATTGTCAGCATAAAAGGGAGCTGCTCCTATGAAAGTTCTTAGACTCATTTACTGCTTTGAGTCTTGTACATAGAATATTAGTCTTTTTCAGTGAAGTTAGCAGTGTCTCTAGAAGGATAGAAAAGCTGAAATGTTTGCAACTGCATCAGGGTTTAAAGTAATTTACTAATGCATTTGCCTTCAGTGGGAGTTTGTTGTCTTGCCAGTTATTCATATTAAATTTTTAGCATTTTAAATAATGTATTACTATAAGCTTATCTTTATTTGCATTTATAGATCATAAACTCATTTCTGTTTTATTTTACTGAAGAACCCATTAAAAGAGCCAGTAAATCCAGTGGAAAATGGCCTTCAGTGATCTTACATCGAGGACTGTGCATCTTTATGATAATTGGATCAAAGATGCTGGTGAGTAGCCACATTTCCTAATTGAGGTTCATCCTTCCTTTTTATGTCAGATTCTCATATTTAATAGGATTTCATTGGAACAAAATGAGAGACTTTGCAACTTAACAGTCCCTTATTACTAGTTAATGAAGAGGAAGTGCACGAGTTTCATTACAGATATGTACAAAGATGGAGCTACACAGATGTTCATTACAATGTTTACAGTAATGAAAATAGCCTAGATATCCAGTGAAAGGAACTGATCAATAAATGATGGCTCATTCTAACTGAGTAGCCATTAAAAGTGATTTCGGAGGGACAGTGCTCTTCGGCTTGATTCTTCCGTAATGCTCCTGAGGGAAATTAAAGTTACTGCCAACTTTTTTTTTTCTTTTCTTTTTTTTTTGTTTTTTGTTTTTGAGACAGAGTGTCGCTGTGTCGTGCAGTGGCACAATCTTGGCTCACTGTAAGCTCCTTCTCCCGGGTTCATGCCATTCTCCTGCTTCAGCCTCCTGAGTAGCTGGGACTACAGGCGCCCACCACCACGCCCGGCTAAATTTTTGTATTTTTAGTAGAGACGGTTTCACTGTGTTAGGATGGTCTTGATCTCCTGACCTCGTGATCTGCCTGCCTTGGCCTCCCAAAGTGCTGGGATTACAGGCGTGAGCCACGGCACTCGGCCACTGCCAGCTCTTTTGAATGAAAGAGTTGCAGCCCCCAGGAACCTGTCAGAGTGAACAGGGAACAGAAAAGCCAGGGAATGACTGCCTGGGACACCCCTGAGTGATTCTGATATGCCTGCGTTTTACCCTTGCCCATTTATTTTACAAGTCAGTGTTTCAGAAGAGCATGAATGCCATAGCAAGAAGTCTAAAATATGTTAAATGAAAGCAGGTTATAAAATACCCCATACGTTTCTTTCACGGGGTTTAGCAGTTATCTCTGGGTAGTAGGATTATGGGTATTTTTTTATTTCCTTACCTATATTTGTCTAGATATTTTTAAATCACAACAAATATGTTGTGTTGCTTTTATAACCATTTTTTGAAGTTTTAAAAGCAGAACAAAAGTAAAATTTCAAAAAGAAAGAATCAGAGCATCTTACAGCTGAGATGGATCTTAGATATCATTGAAGCTTATGCCTCATTTTACAGTTGAAGAAATGTGACCTCAAAGTCATGGTTAGTTGATGGCAGAAAAGAGTAGAACCTATGTGTTCTGATTATTAGTTGTAGTATTATGGTATTTAACATTTGAGTTTATTTTTGAGATACTGAGCTATACATACTTACCAACATCACTACTTTAGGTTGATTCTTACCTATCACCTAGAAATTGCAAGTCTATCAAATTCAGGAGGGAAATGCACCACCTCTTGGCACCTACCACAGTTGAAATTATATTCAAATTTACAATGATTTCAGCAAAGATACCCTGTTTCATGGTTTGCAGCTTTCTCAGTAGCTGCTAAAAACCAAATTTATTTCACTAAAAATGTTCCCAACAGTTTTTCCTTTGAGGAACGCCAAGGCTCTTTGTAAGTATCTCATAGATAGAGAAACTTCACTCTGGTAGGGGATACATAGTGACTGTGCCAATCTTTTCTTCTTAGTTTTTTTTTCTTAGTTTTCCAATATATGTAAGGATACAGAGAGCATTCAAGTTTCTTTAGGAGTCATCCTTCTCTGACGGTTTACAGTAGTTCTCATAACGTCAGTATTAATTTAAATACTAATATTTTCATTGCTTTTCAAAGAGAGATGTGCCTTACTACCTGAACTCTCACTATTTGAACTTAGGAACCAAGTAAATTTGGGTATAGTTTTTGAAATAGAGTTATTTGGAAGAACAGATCTCTTGCTATCCAATTCTTGACAGTCATTATGCCAAATACAAGAATCTGAGACTCAAATAATCAACATGCTAACTTAAGAGCCCAATAGATGTAGACAATGATAAATATCTGTGTAGTCCTAGAAGTTAAAAATGCCTTAATATGAACTTCTTTAGAATTCCACTTCCACTCTTATCCTTGGATCAACTCCTTAATTTTTATTAGGAATACCTACATTGAAATTGCTGGGTAAAATTAGATTAGATGTGGAGTGGAGGCCTGAAAACAGCATTGCAAACGGTGCAGGGCAGATGAGGGGAGAGAGGCAGGGAGAAGGCAAGGAATACCTGTATTTGAAGTTATGCTTATTTGAAGACTTGGGAGGGGAAAGAGGGTATGGGGATGTGGAGTGAGAATACCTAGATTTAAGGTCTGACACTGCTGTAGCCCAGCTGGATGATCTTGAACGTGTTATTTATTGGCTGTGAGTCTTTGTTTCTTTATTAGCAAAACATAAGTGAGAATAGCATCTACCAGCTACCAGGTAACATACATGAAAGTGCTCTGCTATTTCGGAAGTATCCCAACATAAATAGTGGTGCTGGTTGTTACAGATGATAGATTTTATCTGAAAATACTCTTCATATAGCGTATACTTAAAAATTGTTTTCTTTACATTATTTTTTCCCAGGCATGGTCTAAAAGGGTTAAAATGTTTTGTTTTGAGATATACAGCTTTATGGAAACCCTGTCAGGTGTAACAGGAAAGTTTTTGCCTTCTACTTAGTGTAATATTGATCTCTGAGATCCATTAGTAATCATTTCTGGCCATCTTAGTCCAGTTTTAGTTTGCTTACCCTGGAAATGTCTGAACTTATGATCAAGGGCCAAGAATTTCAAGTGTATTCTTGGCTTTAGCCCTAACCCTGAGTAGCCTAAGGAAACTTACTGATATTCATTGGCTTTCTGATTGCTAGAGAAGTAGTGGTCATGCATAGTTATTTCATGTGGAAAAATTCCACAGCTACAGAATAAAAAATGGTTTAATTAATACTTAGCTATAAGAGGATTTATTTGGATTCTTAGATGTGAAATGGTGAGATTTTGAAATAATTCTATAGTAGCATTTTGGATTATAGAGAAATGAAAAAAGTTTTTAATGTTTAAAATACAGCTTTCCTTGTATTTGATTAGAAATGATGACTTTTCAGACTTAGTCATGATCCTTTTTTGCAAGAAGATGGAGTATGAGTAAGATTGCTGCCATTCTGAAACTTTAGTACTTCAAAAAGTACTTAAGGTACATGTTTGCTTTTCCTTCCAGCTTCTTCATTTCGTTGGTACTTGGTATCTTAAAGCTGTACTGTTTGAGCCAGTACATGCTACTTAAGAAGAGAACACTCTCTTAGAAGCTCATTAATATTCTATGGAAAAGCTCATTAATATTCTATGTATGTGGCATTCTACTTTCCCTATGCTCTCTCCCTGGGACACTCTTAGAAAACAATTATTAAGCAAGTGATAAATCAGAACTTTGGTAATCATTGGGATATAGACTGTCAGACAGCCTTCCCATCCTCTGCTTCTATCATGGCTCTACTCATGACACTTAAACCCAATCTGATGCCGAAAAGAAGGTACATGAAACATCCCCCACCCCGTTTGCCTTTTTTTTCTGGGGCAGACAGAGCACCTCATGCCTAAATCTAACTTTTTCAACTTATGTAATGATACAGGGAACATTCAAGTTTCTTTAGGGGGTCATCCTTTTCTGAAGGTTTATAGTAGTTCTCATAAATTCAGTATTTAACTTCAGTACTAATATTTTCATTGCTTTTCAAATAGAGATGTGCCTTGCTACCTGAACTCTCATTATTTGAGCTTAGGAACCAAGTACATTTGGGTGCAGTTTTTTTGAAATAGAGCTGTTTTGAAGAACAGATCCCCTGCTATCCAAATGTTGCTATTCACTATCCCAAATGGGATCATAGATGGAGTCAGAATTAACTTTAACTGTCACCCAGCAGGTGCATTGATACTCCCTGTAACATGCCCACTACCTTACATGGAAGTGGACTCTATTCAGAAAGGTATAATTGTTGTTAAGAGAGACAGCCAGAAAAGTGAACAATGGCCAGAGTCATGGGTGTCATCCTAATGATTTTGTATTTTATTTGCTCAGTCAGGGAGAGCTAATTTAAGCAATTTCATTTGCTCAGTAAGGGAGAGCTAATTTAATGAAAGGAAGAATTTAGGGACAACTTGATTTTTAGAAAATGAATTTGACAATTGCATGGAAGACTAGTGTAGCAGATTGGATCAGGAGGCAGTGAAACCATATAAAAGACTATTGAAGAATACCCAGTGAGGGGTGCTGTAGCCCTAAATATAGGTGAGGAAACTTGGTCTCACACCAGACCCCTAGCTCTTAACAATGACAGCTCATCACAGTTACCAATTAACAAATTGTTGACTGCTGACAAATTATAATTACATATATTTATGGGGTACAAAGTGATGTTGTGATACATGTATCCAATGTAAAATGATTAAATCAATCTAAATAGCTTGTCCATCACTTCAAATACTTATCTTTTTGTGGTGAAAACATTTGAAATTTACTTTTTACAATTTTGAAATACACATTATTATTAGCTCTAGTTATGCTGTGCAATAAATCTCAAAAAGATATTTCTGTTGAACTGAAACTTTGTACCCTTTGATCAACATCTCCCAACTCCCCCAACCCCCTGGCCTCTGGTAACCACCATTCTACTCTGCTTATATAAATGTGATTATTTTAGACTTCTTTATAAGTGAGAACATGTCTTGTCTTTCTGTGCCTGGTTTATCTTACTTAGCATAATGTCTTCCAAGTTCATCCACATTGTCACAAATTTTAGGATTTTCTTTTTGAAGGGTGAATAATTGTCCATTGGTTATTTCTCTCTATATATCTACAGGTCTATAACTCAGAAAGGCATAACTTTAGATTGACAGATATCACATTTTCTTTATCCATTCACCCACTGATGGACATTTAGGTTGATTCCACATCTTGGCTATTATGAATAATGCTGCAGTGAACATGAGAGTGCAGATATCCCTTCAATATGCTGATTTCATTTCCTTTGGATATATATCTGGAAATGAGATTACAGGATCATATGGTAATTCTATTTTTTGTTTTTTATAGAACCTCCCTGTAGCTTTCCTTATAGGTATAGTAATTTACAGTCCCACCAACATTGTACAGGGGTTCTCTTTTCTCCACATCCTTGCCAACACTTGTTATCTTTTTTCTTTTTGATAACAGACATTCTTACAGGTGTAAGGTTATATCTCTTTGTCTTTTTAATTTGCATTTTCCTGATAATTAGTGATGTTGAGAATTATTTTCATCTATCTGTTGGCCATTTGTCATCTTTTGAGAACTGTCTATTCAGGTCCTTTGCCCATTTAAAAAAATGATGCATAGAAACCACGTCCTAGGATTCTGATTCAATTGGACCAAGATTACTTTTTGCAATTTGTCTTTTAAATACTGTGGAGGCAATTTGGCTGTGCTAACAGAATTGAGATCTGCTGTAATAACAGTAGCAAGCATACTGAGTACTTAGGCTCTTTACATATAATAACTCAATCAATCCTCCATGAAATACATGCCTTTTAATGCCAAATTTGCAGATGAGGAAACTAAATACAAAGAAGGTGAGTCAATTGCCCAAGGTGACATAGTGAGCCAGTGGGAGAACCAGAATCAGAATGCAAACTATCTGACTCCAGAGTTTTGCTGAAGTAGAATTTCTAAAGAATATTTTGTTTTATTATTTGCTTTGAAAATATCCAATTAAATTAATCAGTGTTTCCCATAATTATTTTTTATCTGTAGAACTTGAAAGTCACATACAGGACTTAAGGTGTGTGCTGAAAATATTAAATTACAGGAAAAAGTTATTTATTTTAAAATTATTTTGTTCTGCTTCCTGAGCCAGCCCAGCATGCTTTTCCTGGCTTGTTTTCTTTCTACTGCTACCAGAGGAAGAACAGAGAAAATGATGTCATTTGATTTTTCCCCCTCCTGAGTCAATGAAAGAATAAAATAAAATATATCTCTAATTCAGCAATTCTTTTACTGACATTTAAGCTAGTTTCTAACCATATGTGTGATGATTGTTAATAATAGAGTCATTTGAAATTGTTTATAGAGCAAAAGAAAGAACAAAAGTCAACTAAACTCTCACCATGCAAAGGTGATGATGTAACATCTTTCCAGAGGTCTTCTTTTGGTATTGTTTTTTTTCCTTTCCTTTATTTTTTGTTGTTGTTGTTGTTGTGGTGGTGGTGGTGGTGGTGGTGGTGGTTGTTGTTTTGAGACAGGGTCTTACTCTGTTGCCCAGGCTGGAGTGCGATGGCATGATCTCCAGTTCACTGCAACCTCCACCTCCCAGGTTCAGGCTATTTTCTTGCCTTAGTCTCCTAAGTAGCTGGGATTACAGGCGTGTGCCACCATGCCTGGCTAATTTTTGTATTTTTAGTAGAGACAGGGTTTCACCATGTTGGCCAGGCTGGTCTCAAACTCCTGATCTCAAGTGATCACCTGCCTTGGCCTCCCAAAGTGCTGGGATTACAGGTGTGAGCCATGGCGCCTGGCTATTATTGTTTTCAGTAGTTTTTAATTTCATTAGCAATGAAAACTAGACATAGTAATATGGATCTCATCTTGGACTGTAGTTCCCATAATTCCCACGTGTCTTGGGTGGGACCCAGTGGGAGGTAATTGAATCATGGGCACAGCTCCCCCATGCTCTTCTCATGATTGTGAGTTCTCACAAGATCGGATGGTTTTTTAAGCATCTGGCATTTCCCCTGCTGGCACTCATTCTCTCTCCTGCTGCCCAGTGAAGAGGTGCCTTCCATCATGACTGTAAGTTTCCTGAGGCCTCCCCCAGCAAATTTAAATCTGTTCCCTTTATAAATTACCCAATCTTGGGTATTTCTTCAGAGCAGTGTGAGAATGGACTAATACAGTAAATTGGTATCTCAGAGAATGGGGCGCTACTATAAGGATACCCAAAAATGTGGAATTGACTTTGAAACAGGCTAAAGGCAGAGGTTAGAGCTGTTTGGAGGGGTCAGAAGAAGACAGGAAAATGTGGGAAAGTTTGGCTGGGCACGGTGGCTCACGCCTGTAATCCCAGCACTTTGGGAGGCCGAGGCAGGTGAATCACCTGAGGTCAGGAGTTCGGGACCAGCCTGACCAACATGGAGAAACCCCATCTCTACTGAAAAATACAAAATTAACTGGGCGTGGTGGCGCATGCCTGTAATCCCAGCTACTGGGGAGGCTGAGGCAGGAGAATCACTTGAACCCAGGAGGCAGAGGTTGCAGTGAGCCGAGATCACGCCATTGCACTCCAGCCTGGGCAACAAGAACAAAACTCCATCTCAAAAAAAAGAAAAAATGTGGGAAAGTTTGGAACTTACTAGAGACTTGTTGAATAGCTTTGACCAAAATGCTGATAGTGATATGGACAATGAAGGTCAGGCTGAGGTGGTCTCAGATGGGGAGGAGGAACTTGCTGGGAACTGGAATAAATAATACTATGCTTTAGAAAAGAGACTGGCAGCATTTTGCCCCTGCCCTAAAGATCTGTGAAACTTTTAATTTGAGAGAGATGATTGAGGGTATCTGGCAGAAGAAATTTCTAAGCAGCAAAGCATTCAAGAGGAAGGATCATAAAAGTTTGGAAAATTTGCAGCCTGATGATGCAATAGAAAAGAAAATACAATTTTCTAGGGTGAAATTCAAGCCTGCTGCAGAAATTTGCATAAGTAGCAGGAACTGAACTCCAGGGTATGTCAGAGACCTTGGCAGCAGCCCCTCCCATCACAGACCTGGAGGCCTAGGAGGAAAAAATAGTTTTTTGGGCTGGGCTCAGGGCCTCCCTGATGTGTGCAGCCTAGGGACTTGATGCCCTGCATGCCAGCTGCTCCTGGAATGGCCAAAAAGAGCCAAGGTGCAGCTTAGGCCATAGCTTCAGAGAGTGCAGGCCCCAAGCTTTGGCAGCTTTCACATAGTGCTGAGCCTGTAGATGCACAGAAATCAAGAATTGAGGTTTGGGAACCTCTGTCTAGATTTCAAAGGATGTATGGAAACTGCTGGATGTCCAAGCCAAAGTTTGCTGCAGCGGTGGAGCCCTCATGGAGAGCCTCTACTAGGGCAATGTGGAAGAGAAATGTGGGGTCAGACCCAAAACACAGAGACCCCACTGGGGCACTGCCTAGTGAAGCTGTGAGAAGGGGGCCACCATCCTCCAGACCCCAGAACGGTAGATCCACTGACAGCTTGCACTGTGTACCTGGAGAAGCCACAGTCAATCAGTTCTAGCCAGTGAAAGCAGCAGGAAAGGGGCACTGTACCATACAAAGCCACAGGGGCAGAGCTGCT